GGTTAGTCTCAAAAACTCCTGAGCTCAAGCAATCTGCCTGCCTTGCCCTCCCAAAATGGTGGGATTACAGGCATGAGACACTGCATGCAGCCTGCTTGTATATTTATTTACGCTGAAACAAAAAAAGTTAAACTTAAAACACTGACACTATGGTCCCTCTACTACCATTTCCCATGTTCAGAGGACCCTGGGATTTCAATTCCTGATTCTCCCAGGTGCCTCCGGTACTGTATTTTCTACATCCCCTTTGTTTTGTTGTTGTTGTTGTTTATTTATTTACTTATTTTGAGACAGACTCTCACTTTGTCGCCCAGGCTGGAGCGCAGTGGCACAATCGTGGCTCACTGCAACCTCTGCCTCCCAGGTTCAAGTGATTCTCCTGCCTCAGCCTCCTGAGTAGCTGGGACTACAGTCGTGCACCACCATGCCCCACTACTGTTTCTATTTTTAGTAGACACAGGGTTTTGCCATGTTGGCCAGGCTGGTCTCCAACTCCTGGCCTCAAGTGATCAGCCCGCCCTGGCCTCCCAAAGTGCTGGGATTACAGGCGTGAGCCACCACAGCTGACCTCTACATCCCTTTGAATGTACATAACTAGACTCTTTGCCTGAGTCCCACCCATTTCTCTGATCGTCTTGTGTTCTGGGAAGTGACTAATCTTTGACCTCCTTCAATGGCTCACTGGAAAAATTCAACCTGATGGGTCCTCTTTACTCCCCTTCTTCTTTTTCAAGAGAATTTCCTATCTACCGTTCCCACCTCCTTACTAGTCATTTCACATTTTCTCTCCTTCTTTTACATTGTTAACTTAAAACACACACAGTCTTCTGGGCCACAAGACCCAACACCTTAAACCAGATGTCAAAGAAAGAAGCCACGGGAAGTAAACACTTTGCTTATCCACACTCTCTAAATAATACGTGTTCAAATTCCAAATACAGCATGTCTTAGGTTTTTTCTCACAGATTCCCTCTAAACTGCTCTCTTCATATAAAATGATAGCCACACCTCAAAACTGCAGCAACCAAAGCTTTCTCTATACTGACTTGCAGACAATAAAACTGCCAGGTGGTACCAAAAAAAAAAAAAAAAAAAAAAAGGAAAGAAAGAAACCCCACAAAAACCTCATCATTAAATGGAATGTTGTGAAGAAATAGCTGTTTTATTTAACAGCTATTCATTTTTATTGAATAAACATTTTCTAGAATGCATTCTGTTAATTGACCTGACAGCATATGCTGTATATGGAGAAACTTCTAAACATTATGCTCTATGTAATATGCTTATCTGAAACAGCTCTCATTTGCAGCAATATGGAAATAAAATTCTGCTTTCTAAAATTCAAGACTTTTAAAATGCATTAATCCACACAGTTTATGAAATTGTTCTGGACATTTTAAAATCCTTTCTTTAAGAAAAAAAAAACTTTAGTAATTGCTAATAGTATTTGTTGCTGAGTTTCATAATGGAGTAGTGCACATCCAATACAACTTTTACAGACATAGAAATGGTGCAGGCATAATAGGAAATAAAAAGCAGTTATGGTATCGGGTAAAGAATTACTCAATGGATAAAAGAAAATGTTCAGAAACTCTATCAAATTATATTATTAGAAAACTATTGTTATAATAGTTTCATGGCCCAGACATAAATAGAGTTGAAACATTACAGAGATAATACATTTAGTTTTGAGGAAGGAAGACAGTTTGTGAGTGTGTTGGCAGGCTCTACCAGCTAATGGCAGCACCTCTCTTGGGCTGATGGCTTCTGAGTGATGAGTCTACCTTCCAAGCCCAGAATTGCCAACTCCACTACCTAGAGGCATAAATGAGCAATGCTGCTGGTGGGAATGAGAGCAGGCTGGAGGGCTCCCTGTCTTCAATAGCAATTCATCTCCGAACAATTGTTGCCCTTGTGGGACTATCAGCCCAAGGTTACCAGATATTCTAATTTTTCAAAAGAAGATGGAAAAGCCAGATTTGCCCCATTTCTCTAGGTTGTCAACTAACTAATTTTTAGAAATGACAATGCCATTTGAACATAATTAAGTCAACCTATAAACAAAACTCACTATGGAACTTGTGCACTCCATAGTGAATCTTTGTCAGGGCCCTCCCATCCTGAAAAGGGCATTTGCTGTAAATTGTAATTATCTTTGACAATATGGAGCAAACATGGAAAGGTTTGCATTTATTTATTTTAAATCCTGGCACTAAGTAAAAACTCTCCCCATATCCTCAATGATGGTATTGGTGCAACGGAAAATCCTCCAACATTCAACATAATACACAGCATAATTAACTCGTTTTTATGCCAGGCCCTTTTAAGCCAGATCTTCGTGTTCCATGGACTTCTAACATATTTTACTGTTCTAATTCTCTTCCACTGTCCTACATTAATCAAAGCTGTAACCCCTGTTGTCTTTGTACTACGGAATCTGAATGTGCCCCTGGCGAGGAATGGGGGAAAAGTCAACAGGAATTAAATTTCAGTGCAACTGTTTACTCAACTGTGGCCTGCAGTTATTGAAATTTTATCCGTGGTTTTGTGTGACTACCGCAGTAATGAATTCAGCATGGCTGTGATTTTCTCACTGCTGGTATTCTCACTTCAAGTAAAAACCTGTAGAATAAAAATGATGAAAACAACCATAGTCCACTGTAGAATGCTCACACTTCTCCAAACTGTCTAATTGTTGCAGTTTTCAGTCCGGAAGAAAACTCTGATAACTCTAGTCCTGTAGAAATATTTTCAGTCCTGTAGTTTTTCTTATTTCATCTACAGATTTCCCTTTTCCCCAACAACCTGTTAAGAGCCTTATCATATACTTAGGGGAGCTGAACAGCTGTCAATGTCATATTTTAAAAGACCTCAAAAGGCTTTGCTAACCACAATACAGGGGGTTTTAGCCACAATGATAGACCCCACTGCTTTGTTTCTTCCCAAAACGTGTCAACGGCATACGGAGAAAAAACTGTCATAAAAACATTTAAAAACAGTATAAAAGTCTAATCATAAAACATTTCTTGACCTTTTTATCAATAACCAGTAACAATAAATTTTCCAAAGTGGTCACGGCCAAAGGAAGATGTGGATAAATACATTTGCAACTGATACTTTTTAAGGAAGATGTTGGTGAAATAGGCTTTTATAATTTTATTCTATGTAGCCAATTTGTTATTGCTGTTGTGTGTGTGCACGCATGCGTGTTTTGGGTTTATATGTAAACCACATGTTTTGATGGTTTATATGTAAAGTTTTTTGGAGATCCTGAATGATTTTTAGCTCCTCAAATAAAAATCAAAAGTTAATTTCCCATTTATTTAATTAATGTAATCTAAATACTAATTATTTAGTATTACCACATCAGTCAGTAGCCCCATCTCAAGTGCTCAAGTGCTTCATAAAGAAATAGTCAATCTTGACACTCGTCTGGTAAGGGCATAGAAGATGTCATTCAAAAACATTAACTATTCTGAATAAAATGGCTGAGAACATCACATGAACATATACTAGCACAAATACACGGAGACCCTTTTACTATCTACTGTGCGGTTTTGCTAACAACCTCACTGGTTGGAATTTGGCCATCTGCACTAACTTAAATGCACAGTTTATACACAACGAACATCACAAATTCCATCTGAAGTGAGCTCATGGTGCAGGCACAAATGGGTTTGGGCTGCCAATGAGAGAAAGATCAAATCACTTGCAGGAAGTCCTCTGAATTAAGACTTTTGCTGGTCTGTTACTTTTCCTTTCTTTTGCTTTGTTGCATCTTTCTCCCAACAGGTTCCACAGTCTCATGTTGGTTCCACCACCTTGTAAGGAGCTAACAACCTAATCATTCCTTACTCAACTCTTTGCAAGGAGAAAATAAACATGGTTTAGAGCTTCTCTCAAAGTTGCATCCCAAACATAAGCTTAGCTTCTCTGACACAGATTCCAAGAAAATGGTTTGAGAAGCACTTTGTCCCTATCTTCTTCCTCCCCACAGAAGTTACTGTAGCTTTCAGAAAGGCCCAAAGATACTTCATTCTTTTTAATTCACCTGTTTCTGAGCGGCATCATAACTATGTTTTGAATAAGTAAATCAAGAACAAAACAAGTCATAAACCATCTATTATCATTAACAAATCCTAATAATATTTCCTGATTCCGAGACAGGCTAGAAAATCAAAGCCAGTCTTCAAGCAAATGCCGTTTACTTATTTGAATTTTTATCAACACTTTGACAACAAAACACCATTTCTTGGGTCGCCTGTACCATCTGGAAATATTTTACCTGTCACTCACAGGTACCCAGTTCCATACCTGTAAAAAGTATAACTAACAGGAATGAGTTACGTACATTTTGGGGAGGCACCAATAAGAGATAACTCAAAGCAGTAAGACTTAGCCACAAACCCACTGCTGCATGAATACCGGGAACATATGTAAATACCCTAAACCCCCAAATCCTACAGGTAGAGGAAAGCAGCTTCCTACAGTGATGCCCGTGTTCTACATGTTTTGGCTGTTATCTCAGCATTTCTGCCTGTATTTCTACGTATTTATTTCAACTCTCCTTACTCACCTACTCTTTTTCTCTCTTTTATTCCTTAGCTCTTATTTCCTTCTTCACAGGCTTAAGCCTGTTTTTCGTTTAATTTTTATTATTGCATGAAAGCAGTGGAAACCATTTCTCCAAAGAATAATTTTATTCAAAGCGGGGAAAGGTTAGGCTGACACAGGTCCACTCAATCTTCGTCTCAGCAACTGTTCCCCACAAGGGGATCTGCAGGACTTTCCACCTCCCAAGGGCTTGAAAATTAGTCTCTTAAGCCAACTGCTGGGACCCCTAGAGGGCCGACGGTTTATGAGATGCCACTGACAGAATGACAGATTGGCAGACAGGTGAGCACAAAACGCTGATCGCGAGATCGTCATTAAACGTAAAATTCAGCGGTAAAATTCGCACCCACCACCCTCCACCTTCCAGGACTCCAAAGCCCCGGTACCTGTTGCTGCTGCTGCTGGGCGTGGGCGAGGTCAGCTGCCCCGATGTCCACGGCTGGCGTCTCTCCGTTGGACCGCCCCTCCCGAAGACCGCCGCACTCTAGTAAGTGGTTGCTGCCGCCCGACCCATTCTGGATGGCTGAACCGTTACTTTTTGTCTCAGTCCCAGATTCTTGCATCATGACTCAAAAACCTGATACAAGGATTTCCAAGATGGGGGGCGGGTGGGGGGGAGAAAAAAAAAGCAGCTGTTAAAACAGTTGTTGTGCATAAGGAGAAGGGCCTTGGTTTAAATGTTGCCAAAATCTGTAAACAGTTGTCATTTTCTTTCACTCAACTTATCCCCTCATTAGCGGGTCAGGTCCCTAGTTTTGGGTCTGAAACTGTCATTCCCAATTCAAGTTTCAGTAGTATTGTTTTAAATATATATATATATTTTACCCTTAGAAAAACTAATATTTGTAGGTAAACCTAGAATTCAAGATTAAACTTTTCTTTTTTCTTTTTTCTTTTGAGATAGAGTCTCACTCTGCCGCCCAGGCTGGAGTGCACTGGTGCAATCTTGGCTCACTGCAACCTCCACCTCCCGGGTTCAAGACATTCTCCTGCCTCAGCCTCTGAGTACCTAGGATTACAGGTGCACGCCACCATGCCTGGCTAATTTTTTGTGGGTATTTTTAGTAAAGAAAGGGATTTCACCATGTTGGTCAGGTTGGTCTTGAATTCCTGACCTCATGATCCACCCACCTCGGCCTCCCAAAGTACTGGGATTGCAGCCACTGCGCCTGGCCCAAGATTAAATTTTTCTTCTATCTGGTTCCTTTGCTCAAAAACCAGCAAGTCATCCCATAGAGCATATTAGGTATAAACATTAAATTTTAACCTGTGCAGGCACTAGAGCCTTGCTCTGTCACCCAGGCTGAAGTGCAGTGGCACTATCTGTGCTCACTGCCTCCGCCTCCCGGGCTCAAGCAATTCTCCTGCCTCAGCCTCCCAAGTAGCTGGGATTACAGGTGCCCACCACCATGCCCAGCTAATTTTTGTATTTTTAGTAGAGACAGGGTTTCATCATATTGGCCAGGTTGGTTTTGAACTCATGACCTCAGGTGATGCACTCGCCTCGGCCTCCCAAAGTGCTGGGATTACAGGCCTCGTGAGCCATGGCACCTGGCCGAAGGTACTAAAAGTCTAATAGAAAAAAAATATATAGGCCTGGGGGCGGTGGCTCACACCTATAATCCGAGCACTTTAGGAGGATGAGGCAGGTAGAACACTTGAGGTCAGGAGTTCGAGACCAGTGTGGCCAATATGGTGAAACCCTGTCTCTACTAAAAGTACAAAAAAACAAAAGAAAAAATAAATTAGCCAGTCATGGTGACAGGCACCTGTAATCCCAGCTACTCAGAAGGCTGAGGCATGAGAACTGATTGAACCCAGGGGGTGGAGGTCGCAGTGAGCTGAGATCACGCCATTGCACTCCAGGCCTAGGTGACAGGACAAGACTCCATCTCAAAACAAAAGAAAAGAAAAAGAAAAGAAAATATGGTGCAAAATGAGTAGCTAGAAAATATAACTTAGGGCCGGGCTCACGCCTGTAATCCCAGGACTTTGGGAGGCCGAGGTGGGCGGATCACCAGGTCAGGAGTTCAAGACCAGCCTGGCCAATATGGTGAAACCCTGCCTCTACTAAAAATACAAAAATTAGCTGGGCATGGTGGTGTGTGCCTGTAATCCCAGCTACTCAGGAGGCTAAGGCAGGAAAATTGCTTGAACCGGGACCCGGGAGGCGGAGGTTGCAGTGAGCCGAGTGCCACTGCACTCCAGCCTGGGCTACAGAGCAAGACTCCGTCTCAAAAAAAAAAAAAAAAAAAAAAAAAGAGGAAATATCAGTTACGTGTAAATACATTTCACATTCACTCTTATTACTCTGTGGGCACAAAACCATTATCCCAGAGAGCCAATTCAGCCCTTGGCTGAGAAAAGATGTCCAAAGATGACGAAAGACAGATAACATTTGCTAATACCAACAGCTACCATCTACCAATCACCAGCGTTGGGTCAGGCAGGCCCTAATGCAGGTGATTTACACACATTCTCCAATTCAGTGCTGATGACGATTGTTACCCCCAGTTTGCGGATGAGAAAACTAAGCCTCCACAAGTTAATTAATTTTCCACTACATGTCACAGCCAGTAATGGTGGAATCAGGATTTGAACCAGTTCAGTTAAGTCAAAGCTCTTAACCACAATGTGTCTTTTTAAAGTTGAGGTTCAGTGGGGGCAAAACAATGAAAAAGGCAGGGTCACACTCCAAGTTCACAGACCAAGATTTGGAAAAGGAAAAGCAAAAGTCATTAAAGGAAGTAAAAAGTTCAAACATGAAAGCTGAGAAATGCCTGAATAATTAAGACTTTAATGTGAAATACCAATCCCAGATGAAAGGGCAGAAAATTTTTACGCAAACATGTTCCAATTGTGTAAGGACATATGTACAACCAATGCCACAGATTTCTGCCCCATACATGAAATGTGACAACAGGGAAATTTCAAGCTTTGGGTATCTTTAGAGGACATTGTTTTCTTGCTAGAAATTGGATGAAGTCTGTTTTCTGCAGACTTGCACAAAAACCAAATGGAAAAATTAAAAGCAGAAAAATTCACATCTTTCTTCATTTCCTTTCACTGCATAGCATGATCCAACTTGATACAGACTTCATAAACCCAAAAGACGTATATATTTTTTAAGTTGATCCAATTCTAAAGTGGATTGAGAATGGCATTTTTCACTAGCAGGTGGGAAACAAACTGAGAAGTAACAGCTGATTCACTCTCGTTTCTTGATTTTTATTATTATTTTTTCATTCTCATGTCTTCAGATCAGACTTTCTAATAATTATAGTCCTTTAGAAATTGCAGTTATATTCTTACCACAGAGTAAAGCATCTTTCAAAAATAACCAAAATCTTCCCTAAGATACAAGAATAAGGTAATGAGATAATTTGTGATAGCAAGAGTGCCTTGTTCATCACCAAAAAAGAAATGAATCTGTGAAATCTAGGTACTTTTCCCCGGGCATTTCAGTGTCTCTTCCACAAACTTGCCCCTTTGTACAGAACTAAAGAAAAAGAGCCGGGTGCGGTGGCTCACGCTTGTAATCCCAGCACTTCGGGAGGCCAAGGCAGGCAGACCACCTGAGGTCAGGAGTTCGAGACTAACCTGGCCAACATGGTGAAACCATTCTCTACTAAAAATACAAAGAAATTAGCCGGGCGTGGTGGCACATGCCTGTAATACCAGCTACTTGGGAGGCTGAGGCAGGAGAATTGCTTGAACCCGGGAGGCAGAGGTTGCAGTGAGCCGAGAGCATGCGACAGAACGAGGCTCTGTCTCAAAAAAGGGGTGGGGGGAGAGAAAAAAAGGATTATAGGAAAAGGCACAGTGTTAGGTATTTAAGCAGGAGAGCATTTGTTTTAGAGTAGGTAGCAAGGAAATCCATCTAATTATTAGGATATATCTCAAACATATGTAAAGAAAAAAATCTATAGAATATATATACACACACGCACACATATATATGTGTGTGTGTATGTATGTATGTATTTTTCCCTTTCTGGGAATACCTCCCCATACCAGGGACTTGATCCCCAAAAGACAACAGCATTGCACATATATAAACTCTACCCCTGCTCTCAGAATGAGGCATATTTAGCCAAATAGCCTGTCCTGATGGAAGAGAGCTGCAGGTAGAATGCAGCTTTCAGACGATGTGACCCTCGGGATCCCAGGCCTGAGAGCAGGTGTCTAAGACGCTGGTCCTGCTTTTGTTTCCTTGGTGAGACACCATTCTGGTGGGTGGAGTAAGAACAGTCTCCAATACACAATTTGATGAGAAGGCCCTGTTTTTGCTCCATGCAGTTCCAAAGCAGACTGCCAAGTCCTCCAGTACAAGTTTTGCAGGCATCAAGCCAAGCAGCTTGGCTTGTGAATCAGGTTTGTGAGAGTGCAGGCTTTGGGACCAAAATTGCATAAAGGATTATTTTGGTCTGAGGATGTCCTTAATTAGTCAAGTGCTAACAGTAGTATGTAGGTTGGAAGATTTAAAATTTCCCATAATCTCCCACACCAATCAGGAGAAAACAGCTTTTTGAAAAGCACATGTGAAAAAAATAGGAGTGTCAATGTCTAAGAACATTTCTAACAGTGTCTGGGCCAGCAATATTTCTATCAAACGTTCCAAGTCATTTAATAAGCCTTTATATCTGTATCACACTTCACAAATTGCAAAAGCCCTCTGATGTGCTTTTCAAACTTGTAACAAGGCTAGGAGAGAGATAAGGCAGGTAAACGTTATCCCCATTTCACAGATAAGAAAACTAAAGCTCAATCGGTTAAGGGATAGATGTAGCCATAACTATTTTGTTTCAGACACGAACCTGTCCATTCAATAAATGATTAAGAATCTCCAGTTTGTAAAGTCCTGTGCTAGGTAGTGGATAAGGAAGTTAATGAAAAGAAAACTAAGGAAATTCCAGAAGGGCAGCAATGAGAGTGCAGGTGGACAAAGAAAAGCATTAAAATACAATGATATAAGGCATCTGCACTCTTTTGCAAACAACTGTCTTTTTCTTTTGAATTGCCACTATTAGAGTCATCTGAAATCAAGTCAATATATACAGGAGAAGAATCTATCTTCTCTATTAGGGACGTTGCACCCTCTTTTCTTCAAGGAAGCTTGTCCCAGGCACCCAGTTTGCCTAACCTCTGCTTCTCTCTGGGGGAATAACTAATCCTGTAACTAACCAACTGCCTTGCTCCATGACATACTGACAGCAGGAAACACTGTATAATCATACAAAGTGCCTGAATATGAAGGTATGGCCACACTATACCCAGAAACAAGTACTTCCTCCAGAAACAACACCAAACTGAGTCTGCCTTCCTGTATGGCACCTCCAGACGAACTGAGCCTGTTTAAATCACGTGATCCATTTAATCTAACCCTACAAAGGTCAATGCTGCAATTGCATAGATGTCAAAAAGCCTAAAGAAGCCAAAATGATCTACTTCTCATCTTGCTCCGAAACATTACAGAGCTACTGATTTCAAAGGTTCAATTTTTGTGCTGGAGGGACTTGTAGAAAAGGACAAGGACTGAGTTTAGCATGCTTATTTATTGCTGTTGCCAACAGAGCT